AAAACTCCTGATTGGAAAAATATTTTTAAAATTCATATAAAATAATAAATTATTTCGAAATTGCAAGGGGTAAACCAAGTAGTGTACTTTACAACATCATCACCCATCTTTAGACTCAGTATTCATTATTGAAACGACTTGGCGCAATTTACCTCCATTTCTTAAATTGATTCGTTCTATGGACTTTTGAAAAGTTCCCAGAAGGTGGAATGTTTTCGAGCCTAATGTTGTTAGCGATGAGGCGCATTTCTGGCTCAAAGCGTATGTAAACAAACGAAGTTGCCGTATTTGGGACAAAGCAAAGAGGTTCAAGAACTGTCATTTCATACAGAAAAATAACGGTTTGTAGCGTGGTGGACCGGTGGAATCATTGATCCTGTATGGATATGTAAAGCCTAAAGTCTATGCGGACACTCCCGCTTCGATTCAGGACTTTTACAAAACTTCATGGGTCTCCTTCGCAAGTTACCAGTCGAAATACTAAAACGAGTAATCGAAAATTGGACTCAGCGTGTGCATTAGCTGAGACAACATTGGAAGGAGATAATCTTGAAAAAATAAAATCCGAAGAATATCCTTTTGAGAATGAGAATGAACATTCTCCATTACCCATTAAATTTGAAGTTCCTGTTTTTTTTTTTTTTTTTTTTTTTTTTTTTTTTTTTTTTTTTTTTTTTTTTTTTTTTTTTTTTTTTTTTTAAATAGGAAACCTCGCAAATAGTCACCCTAATACTCCGAATAACAGTTTCATTTTGTAGAAATGAAGTCGTCTCACGCCACAAGTGTTTCAAAGAAAGTTTCACTTCAATTCGCTTAACTGAAGAAACACAACTTCGAACGTACTCGCACAATTTCTCGACGTCTTCTGATTGTCGAAAGCTTTTAAAATAATTTCGTTTCATGCGTCTTAACTTGGTTTACCACGCGCAACAGACTCTTAATAACTCCAACTCGCTGGCGGTGGCAAGCAACTGAATCATACTACATATGAAGATGTAAATATGTACGCATATATACGTGTGTTTGCTTGCAGTTATATAGGATTAAGGTATCTTTATATACAACTTCATATATATGTACGTATATGTATATTATATACTTGTGTAACTCCACAATTTCTCGTGACAGGAATATACTTCTTAATGGAGTTTCGTAATTTTCTTAACTTTGACACAATTACTACACACATACACGCAAACTCACATATACACTCGCATTTACACGTTTCATATATTCTCTGTGAAATGTTGAAAGATTTCAAACTTGAAAGTGAGTTGAAAAGTTTAAGTAAAAAAACACGACCAACATTGTATTTTTACTCACATTTCTGATTTGCGCTCGACATTCTTACTCGCTTTGTGCTTTTCTCGAACACAAGAACGGCTTTTAAGAGTATCTACTAAATACTTTTCATTGGCGTGAAGTGCGAAAGTTCGTGGAAGCTATCTGTTAAGAAAGATTTATTTGTACAACCAAAGTTCGAAAGAGCTGTCTATCAAAAATGTATCTGTATACTTAATAAATGAAGCTTTTGACAGCTAAACTATATATTGAGAAATAAACTGTTTTGGAAAAAGCTTTCACTTTGCCAAAGCTCACAAGTAAGTTAAGCAAAAATATTTATTTACGAATTAGTTAATCATTTTGGGAAGAGAAAACTGAACCCAACTATATTATTTGCTTAAAAAGTTTTCACTTTGCCAAAGCTCATAGGTAAGTTAAGCAGAAGTATTTCTTCGCGAACTAAATTTTGTAAAGAGCGCACTGGTCTTAACACATTTGTTTAAAAAGCGCTTATGTATTTTAATTTCTAAACAAAGCTTTCATTGTTCAATGTTTAATTAACTGTCCACTAAATTTTAAGAGTAGTTTATTAAAAAAGAATCATAATATATTTATCTACTAACCAAAGTGAATTATTGCTACACTATTTCTCGGAAACAAATGGTTTTGGAGAAAGCTTTCACTTAACAAAAGCACATATTTGAGTTCCAGCAAAAATTTTATTCACCAGCTAAATTGTTGGAAGAGCAAATGTTCTTTTCTTAGAAAGCTTCCATGAATATATATTGAATATACATAAAAGCTTTCGAAGATTAAATTTATAAGCTTATTTTGAAGTGCATAAATTGTAAATTGCATACAAAATGGTACCGGTTCTCTATTCTGTAGATTCAGCAGATGCAGCTATTCACAGTGTCATTGTATTTATTGAGCTTTTTCATCTGTACTTTTTGTTCTTGCTTTTAAATGCAAAAGTACATCAAAAGCTGTGTGAATTATATGTGAAAGCTGTCATAAAGTATTTGCTAAAGCTCACGAAAGCTTTAAAAGTTGAAAGCATGTAAATTCAACAAAATATCGGATTCATATTTTGTGTTAGGACCAAATTTTTCTACAGTTATTGCAGCCGTATGTGAAAGCTGCTCTGCCAAGCTTTAATCAAAGCTCAAAAAAAAAAATATATATATATATATAAATGGTTAAAAACTCAATCAATTTATCGAAAATACACTTTATTCGCAGACTTTTTCTTGTAATATTTTTTAATTTCATTAAATTACAAATTTTTTCTACCAACCGTTGTCACTTCATCACCGCGGCGCAGGTGTTGGCAATAAGCGCTTAAGTACCATCAAAATGACTACGCCTAAATTGACGTCAAACATTCATTTGAACAACAACAACAATGCATATGAGCATACAACCCTCTACTATAGCATGTACCGTTACTAATTGCAATGTCGTGTGCGAATTTTCGAGTGTAAAAATTTAATTTATTTGCCTAAACTCCGGGCCGCCATTATTTTGCGTTTATACATATGTACACACTGGTATTGGTGCATGCCGGAAAGGCCTGAAAATGCTATAAAATCATATTGGCAGCCTTTGCATATGTTTGGGTGCTGCAACGCTTTGCTGCTGTCCAACGAAGCATGTGGCAGCATTTCCAAATTGATGGTGGTTCTGCCAAGGTTGGTTGACGCCGCAGCTGCTGAGCCACCTTCAGTGCACCCAAAATTCGCCCTGTGGCCTTGCAGTCGTACTGCTCGTTCACTTTTGTCCATTGGTGAGATTTTTAATTTGATTTTCGGCAATTTGCGCGCGCATACAACACCCCTAATACATATATAGCATCGGTTTACGACATCACAGACACACACAGCTGTCCTCGGTCACTTTCCCCGACTCTTTCGTACAAAATATTATTAAGCTCACTGCGACGCATTTACTTTGGCCTCTCGAGCGTCGCGCTTTCT